GTGTGTGTGTGTGTGTGTGTGTGTGTGTGTGTGTGTGTGTGTGTGTCTTCATTTCTGGTCACCATCAAAGCATTTTGTGTATTCTGGCTGATTTCTTCAGAAAGATGCTTCTGTGCTTCTGTTGTTTATCTGCTCGTGCGCTGAATACACTGGAGCATTCTTTATGAAAAGAAAACAAATTAGATAATTCTCCTAAAACATGTGGCAGCAAAGCAATGCTCATCAGTTTTTAATTAAATCTGTCATTCGTATTCATTTTTTTGAGGGCATTAGAGCTAATTTGAGCTACTAACCTAAGTAACTTACCTTTGAGGATTATATGAAAAGAGGAAGTAACTGTTTGGGTTGAAATGTTTAGTTTTCTTCAGTTAAAACAACGCGGTCACCCMCTGATGTGTGTGCTTTTTAATTTTCCAGGGGCCCTGATCAGTGATATCGACTGTGGTCCCTCTGACAGAACACCACCCCCGGTAGGCTGGCCTCACCCCCTCCCACCTGCCTCCATGTATCCTGAATCTACCACAGACTCCCCCGCCCGCCTCTCCCTCCGACAGACTGGCTCACCTGGCATGATCTACAGGTGAGCTGCGTGTGTACACGTACATCTTTTAAAAGGATTCTCCTCACGTTTGTTTCATCAGCAAGGTTGAATCTTGCCAAGCGGCTTATCTTGTCAGTATCTCCAGTAACGAGTGTAGCTTTGATTAAAAACGCTAAACTATTACACACAACTCAGGCTTGATCACAGTGGGATTTTCCTGATGAAGTAAAATGTTCTTACGATAACCTGTGATTTTAACCTGTTCAKTTGTTATTAGGCAAAGTGACAAATAAAATGTTTTAGAAGTAAAATAAAATGTAATAATGGCCAAATTATAATCACAGTTCCTGCCTGCCTTCCATCTTYGTGCAACTTTACCTGACCTTCATATAGTTAAAACAGTCGTGTGTTTTTGCTAATATTTCACCATGTACACAGCAGAATGKTACATTAAATCAAAACCGTATTGACAGTTCAAAGAATCGCAGTAAATTATAGATGCTAACTTCTTGACAGTTTCATGTGTCCTCTGAACGGACGGAGGTGATCAGAACGCGTCAGTAGAAGCCGGTTAGTTCCCCTCGCAAGGCTCAGAAATAAAGCAGGCAGAAGGAGGAAAAGATTTGAAATCAGCTGAGCTTGAAGCGCAGCGCAGCACGTGGTCGCCTCTTATCAATCACAAAAAAAAAAAATAATAAAAATAAAATAAACGATTAACTTACTTTAGCGATCCTCTTTGTGGTACAGTATTTTTTTAACTGTACAAAGTTGCTGTGTCTCAGTGACTCTTGGCACCGCCCAGTTTGTTGGAATTTTTCAAATTTGCCTGGGGGCGGGGTTATACTTTCACAGGGGCAGTAGTTACACTTTAAAGCCTATAGTTGATCTGAATGATAGTAAAACACTGAAACACGCGGAGCATTGTGATGATAGAAGAAAAAGTGATAAATAGGAAAAAAAATGGTTGATTAGTAACTGGCGTATAGATTGTACATTACTGTATGTACCTTTGTTGTCTTTAAAGGCAGGCATGCTTGCATATATGTCACATCATTTTTTTTACTTTTTATTTGTCACCTTTTCTCTCAGTCAAAGACCTAGAAATCCGTTTAAATTGTGCTGCACTCCCAGAAATCACCAGCAGGAGGCGCCAGAGACTYACTGACATTTCCTCTTAAAGCACCTGCTCCAATTTCCTCTTCTACACTTCACATTTCTTCATTCAGGCTGTAATGTTTTGATGCGTACCTAAAACATGCTGGGAGCTGCTGGACCCTTTACGCATTAGAAAAACATGATTGATAAAAAGTTTTAGTGGCAACAAACGTAGCCTGACAATTTGGTTAAGCTTCACTAGATGATTTATACATTTTCTTGTCATCAGCGCATCAAGGCTGTCCAGAATTAGACAAATCAAATCCATTTTTTTAGCATCGTTTTATATCAGCAAAGCCAAAGTCCTAAGCTGGACCTGTGACTTTTAAAGTGCTTAACATCAAACAGTCTGCAGCTCCTTCCTTTGTAGAGCAAGCATAAAGTTACTAAATATATCTGCGCATTTCTGCAATGCTCATATTACTCAAATACAATATTAATAATATCATTTGCTATTTTTATATACCATACTTAGTGTTTGAGCAGGAGTGTTCTTGGTTTATGATGTTTTATCAGTAAATGCACATCAGCTCTGAATTATTCTGCTGCATTAGCGTAGAGATCAGAAGCTCTGTGGTGCCACAGCTTTGTTTGTTAGAACTTGGTAGAGTTTACTTTAATTTAATTGACTAAATTAAAATATTGTCACTGTGTTTCAAACTTTGTAAGGGAATCTCTTCTTACAAAATGAAATATGTGTAACAAAAAATGTTTTGCTTTTCTTGGAAGATGCTATGAGAAGCATTTTCTGTTACAGATACCAATTTAT